CCCTTGAATCTATATATATATATATATAAATAGATAGTTCTCTCTTTCTGTTTCTCTCTCTCTCTCACTCTCTCTCTTTCTCTCCCTGCCTCATGGGAAGAGGAGGGGGAGGGGGAGGAGGAGGAGGAGGAGGAGGAGGAGGAGGAGGAGGAGGAGGAGCAGCAGCAGGAGGAGCAGTAAAAGGAAAAGGAGGACGCGAAGGAGCGTAACAGGAGGAGGAGGAGGAGGAAAAAAACGGAAGGGGCGAGGAGAGGGGACCACCGTGAAAAGAAAGAAGGCGGTGAATGGGTGCTTGGGGGGGGGGCTGTCCATACATACTGGCTGTCCATACATACCTGTGTACGTAGCACCCCGCAATTGCGGATAAGAGTGAGGGGGCGGGCGCGGGCGACGCGGGCGTCGAGCCGGCGGACCTCGTGGCCTTCACCTTCCCTGTCGATGGCGTCCTCCTCCTCCTCCTCCTCCTCCTCCTCCTCCTCCTCCTCGCCTGCTCCTCCTCCTCCTCCTCTTCCTCGTGATTTGCGTGCTCTCACAAGTTCAGCGCGGGGGGGATCGCTGGTGGGCCACCCGGAACGAATGCAAAAGAAACCCGCCGCAGGCGCCGAAGTTTGGCTTGTTCAGTGAACGTAGTCTGGGTCGCGGGTGGGTCACGGGCTCTCCACCACCTGGAAGGAATTCAAGAACAGCCAGCCGCAGGCGCCGAAAATTTTGGGTTGTACATTGAACGCGGTTTGGGTCGCAGGTTCTCCACCAGAACGAATGCAAAAGAAACCCGCCGCAGGCGCCGAAGTTTTGGCTTGTTCAGTGAACGTAGTTTGGTTCGCGGCTGGGTCGCGGGCTCTCCACCTCCACTTGGAAAGAATTCAAAAACAGCCCGCCGCAGGCGCCGAAAAGTTTGATTTGTACACTGAATGCGGTTTGGGTCGCGGGTGAGCCGCAGGTTCTCCACCTGGAACGAATGCAAAAGAAGCCCGCCGCAGGCGCCGAAAATTTTGGGTGGGTCGCGGGGTGGGTCGCGGGTGGGTCGCGGGTGGGTCGGGTCGGTTTGGGTCGCGGGTGGGTCGCAGGTTCTCCACCTAGAACGAATGCATAAGAAACCCGCCGCAAGCGCCGAAAATTTTGGGTGGGTCGCGGGGTGGGTCGCGGGTGGGTCGCGGGTGGGTCGCGGGTGGGTCGCGGGTGGGTCGCGGGGTGGGTCGCGGGTGGGTCGCGGGTGGGTCGCCGGTGAGTCGCGGGTGGGTCGCCAGGGGGGTCTCGGGGTGGGTCGCGGGCGGGTCGCGGGGTGGGTCGCGGGTTGGGTCGCGGGTGGGTCGTGGGTGGGTCGCGGGGTGGGTCGCGGATGGGTCGCGGGGTGGGTCGCGGGTGGGACGTGAGTGGGTCGCGGGGTGGGTCGCGGTTGGGTCTCGGGGTGGGTCGCGGGCGGGACGACGACAACAACAAACAACAAGCAACAAGAATCCGCATCGCGGACTTCCATTTCAGCCACGCGCCCAGGGAGAGTGAATGACCGTTCGGTTCAGCCCCTCACTCTGATTTATATACAAATACACATCCATACAACCATACATATATACATACATACATACATACATACATACATACATACATACATACATACATACGTACGTACGTACGTACGTGCGTGCGTACGTACACACATAACTACATACATGCATACCCACAACCATACATACATACATACATACATACATACATACATACATGCATACATACATACATACATACATACATATATACACATACGTGCATACAGTCATGCATGCATATATACATACATACGTATATACATACATACAGACAGGCATACATACATACGTACATGCATGCATGCGTGCATGCATACATGCACACATACATACATGTATGCATACGTATGTCCATATGCACATATACATGCATACATACATACATGCATACATGCATACATGCATACATGCATACATACAAACATATACATGTATACGTACATGCAGCCATACATGCATACATACATACATACATGCATACATACATACACACATGCATGCATACATACATACATACATACATACATACACATGCACACATACACATGCATACATACCTACATGCATGCATATAGACATACATAAGTACATACATACATACATACATACATACATACATACAGGCATGCATGCATGCATGCATGCATGCATACATACATACATGCATCCATACATACATACACACATACATTCATAGATACATACATGCATACATACATATATACAGACATACACACATACATACATAGATACCTACATACATACATACAGACATACATGCATACATACATATATGCATACATACATACATATATACACATCCATACATACATACATACATACATACATGCATACATGTATATATATACTTACATACATACATACATACATACATACATACATACCTATACACACATATATACATACATACATACATACATACATACATACATACATACATACATACATACATACATAGATACATACGTACATACATGCATACATACATACATACATGAATGCCTTCATACCGACCTACCTACCTACCTACCTACTTACCCACCTACCTACCGACCTACCTACCTACCTACATACATATACAACGAGGCATATACAGGGACATAGACATACAGAGGCACAACTACTGAGAGCGAGAGAGAGAGAGAGAGAGAGATAAAGAAAGAGAGAGAGAGAGAAACAACAACAAAGGAGAAGGAGCAGAGGAGAGGAGAAGAGATGGACGAGAAGCAACATCGAGCGCTGGAGCAGGAGGCGGAGAAGCAGAAGCAGAAGAAGGGTGAAGAGAAGGAGGAGGAGGAGGAGGAGGAGGAGGAGGAGGAGGAGGGAGGAGGAAGATGAGGAGAAGGAGGGGGTGGCCGTCACGGGAGAGGGAGAGTGTGGCGGTCACGGCGGACGTTGGGCGTTGGCAATGCCCCCCCTCGTCGTGCCAGGCGCCCACCCCTGGCAGCCGCCGTCCGCCGCCGCCGCTGTGGCATCCGCGGGCAATGGAGGCAGCCATCGTGGCAGGCGCGGCAGCAAGGCCGAAACAATTGCTGCCTGCCTCTGGCTTCGGCGGCACCGCCAGGCACCCCTCCCCCCCGAATGCGCACGGCGTCGCTTCCGGCGCCTCGAGGCGCCCGGCAGCCGCCGCCGCGGCAGCGACACAGCACCTGCGGCAGCCTCCCGCGGCAGCAACACAGCACTGCTGCCGCTGGGCTTCAGGCTTTAGTGCAGCGTGGCCGCGGCCAGAGCTCGCGTGCGCGTTGTCGCGCCCGAGGGGAGCTGCCGCGGTGCTCTCTGCGTGGCCGCGCCCTGCGCCCGTCGGCGGAGTCCGCGAGGAGCGGCGGGCAGCGGGAGCCCTGCCCGCGGACGGCCCTCTCGCTTTGCCTGCGCAGCGCAAGTCGCAGCACCACTGCGCGGTACGGTCGGCCCGGGGTAAAAAGATCGAGGTCGGTTCGGCGAGGGTGCCCTGGTGTTCTTCGTCGGAAACTGGAACATATACATTTCCAGTGGCGGGTTGTTTTTTCAATCCCAAGACTTTTGAGGGTCGGGGGCGACGTCGGGGTGGTGTGGTGTACACTTTTCCCCCGCTTTCAACGGGAAACAACGGGAAATGCATACACCAGGATC